AGGAGCTGGACGCCCAGTGGGACCTGTGGAAGAAAACCTACGGCAAGCAGTACAATGGCCAGGTAGGGCAGGGAGCCCGGGACCACCCCGGGGGGGTCCCCGTGGGGCTGGGGGTGTCCCAGGATGGTGGCCATGGGGAGGACCCCCCACCCAGCGTCGTCTCCCCCCGTGGTGCAGGTGGATGAGGTGGCCCGGAGGCTGATCTGGGAGAAGAACCTCAAGTACATCAACACCCACAACCTGGAGCACGCCATGGGCCTCCACACCTTCGAGCTGGCCATGAACCACCTGGGTGACATGGTGAGTGTCACGGGGGGGTGGGGAGGGGACAAAAATAGAGGGGGTATAGAGGGGACAGAGCACCCTTGGGTGCTGCTCTACCTGGTGGCCCTAGGGCTGCACCCACCCGCCCCGGGCTCCTTCCCCAGACCAGCGAGGAGGTGGTGAGGACGATGACGGGCTTGAAGGTGCCCCGTGGCCAACCCCGTGGCAACGAGACCCTCTACGTCCCCGACTGGACCGAGAGAGCCCCGGCGGCTGTGGACTGGAGGAAGAAGGGCTACGTGACGCCTGTCAAGAACCAGGTAAAGCTGGTTGCTCCCGGGGGTGCTGGGAAGAGGGGGTGTCACCTTGGTGTCACCTCAACATCACCCTGGTGTCACCTTCTCATGTCCCCACAGGGCCAGTGTGGCTCGTGCTGGGCTTTCAGCTCGGTGGGGGCCCTGGAGGGGCAGCTGAAGAGGAAGACGGGGAAGCTCCTGTCCCTCAGCCCCCAAAACCTGGTGGACTGTGTGGTCAACAACGATGGCTGCGGTGGTGGCTACATGACCAACGCCTTCGAGTACGTCCGGCAGAACCGCGGCATCGACTCCGAGGACGCCTACCCCTACATCGGCCAGGTCTGGGGCTGGGGTGGTGGGGCAGGAGGGGGGGGAAAAAGGTCTCCATTTGGCCCCCCATGACTGCCCTCCCACCATCTCACCCACCTTCCATCTCACCTTGGACCTGGTGTCACGCAGGACGAGAGCTGCATGTACAGCCCCACCGGGAAGGCGGCCAAGTGCCGCGGCTACCGGGAGATCCCCCAGGGCAACGAGAAGGCCTTGAAGAGGGCCGTGGCCAGGATTGGACCCATCTCCGTGGGCATCGATGCCAGCCTGCCCTCCTTCCAGTTCTACAGCCGCGGTGAGGGGCTTGGGGATGGTGGGGGGACCCACACAAACCCCCCTCTGGGGCTGTTTGGGGAAACTGAGGCACGTCCTGGGTGGTTTCTCCGGAGCGTGACCGTCCCTCCTGCCCCCCAGGGGTCTACTACGACCAGAGCTGTGATGCCAACAACATCAACCACGCGGTGCTGGCGGTGGGCTACGGCACCCAGAAGGGCACCAAGCACTGGATCATCAAGAACAGGTAGGGCAGGATGGTGGGGACCACTTTTTGGGGGGCTCGGGGCTCTGC